GCGTAAGATAACGAGGAAAGAACTCATTTTTCTAAGGAATATTAAATAATACGTTCATACGATTTACATAATGGATGAATATAGCGAGTTGGGATGAAATGTGCCGTTTTTACCGCGTACCGTGCTCTACGAGCGGTCGCGACGTCATTTTTTAACGAAGAACCGAAGGAGATAGGCACACGCTCTTAATTTTCTGGTCTGGTTGAGATGATGGTGTTGCAACGTTGCTATTTCAGATACAAAGCGCCGGAATGCGCGTTTATTAGCAGTCGCGGACTTTAATGCGCAGCAACGGCGAATTATCGGGTGTGCTGTATTTGTATAGCGAGTACCGTTTTAAGTAACGGTGAATATGCGAGAGAAAAAAAAGTTAGGGTGATAATTAAGGCACCATTGCGACCGTTTCCTACCGAATGCCAGATTAATTCTAAAAAAATTGGCTAAATAAAAAAAATGAAAAATCAAGATTATTATAATAAACATTAAAACACATGTGAGAAAGAGGCATATTAGAAAGAATAATTTTGACAAAGATACATCTCGTATATATTTTGACTTCTAAAGTTGTAAAAAGGAATTATCGTGCATATATATTGCAATGCGATAATGTACGTTACTTTGTATAGAAAAATTTCTAGAATCTAATTAAAATCTAGTTAGATTTTCCAAAAGAATTATATTTTCCAATTGGAACATCTATAGATTTCTTAAAAGTGTAATCTTGATTTTTTTTATTTTTCTTAAAACGCGATTTTAGGAGAGAAACTTTAAGCAAATTCCATTTGCTTTCTTCAAATGATCGTAATATATATCTATTTATGACAAATTTTTTTTGGAACCTGTGTCTTGGAAAATATTGGAAAATTTATGTATGGGACGATGCAAGATGTGTAACCGACAAGTAATATCACGGAATTAAAACGAGCGCAATTAAATCTGATTATTTTTTTAATCTTTCTGTCACAAGTCAACGCAAACAGCACATCCATTTCAACAAATTTTTATATTTGATCGTGCGCAGTTGCGTATCTTGCTACCATGAGTGTGTCAGAAACCAAAAACGGTAGCTTGCACTCGCGATTATATCTTTTTGTCAAAATTTTGTCTGCTTGACAACTACTTGACGCTCCCACGCGCTTAAATGCGCAATTTTTTAAAATTCTGCGCACGAATTCTGTTCTGTGACATTGCCTAACATTTAATAATCACCTCCTGATCAATTCGTTTTATCACCATTGAAATATTAAACAAATCTCTCATCCACAATAAATATCAGTGAATTTAATTTGAAATGAAGTATCAATTAATATTCAACATTTAATTTTTTTAACGCATTTGATTTTCATTCGTATGTAAACTCAAAAGTTAAAAGTTGTATTTTTTTCTTGCGCGACAAAAGCATCTTTGCGAATCGTTGCGAATCATTGCAGATGGATAATGCGCCGCGCATCTTGTATTCGTACTCGGCAAAATCGTGAGGACGATGTTATCCGATAAACATTTCGCAAGATACAAAGCGATTGTACTAGAGATACTACGTGGAACGTGGAAGCCGCGTGCGGAGAATACATCTGTGCCGAGGCCATTTTTTGATGATCTAAAATCGCGTTAGATTACGATGGATCGCTTTAACCAAGTCCTATCATCATGGGAATTCTTCCATCATTTCCATACTCTTATATAAGACTATATAAGATAAATTTAAGAACATCTCGACATACTAATATCAAAATAATAATTCTGGATTGATTGGTTAATATTTTTATGTTTCATAAATTTAAATAAATCTTCCTTTTTTTAAATTTCTTATATAAAAAAGGAGAATTACATAAAGCAAATATTTAAAAGTCAATTTATTTATTATATTCATGTGAAAGTGTATAAATTGCTCTTTTCTTGTTTTATTAAGGAAGATTTGAATACTCAGAGGAAGAAAAGTCAGACATTTTATTATGAATATTTAAATAATTCTTTTTAAAAATATAACTCTTGGAATAAATATGATTTTTTCGCAGATAAAATTCAATATTTCTTCATACATAGAAATTATTACACCACTTTCTTAAAATTAATGTAACATTTAACATTCTGTACAACATTGCCTAATCTTTTTTATTTACCTAATCTTTTTTATTTGCACATTATTATAACAAGAATATTTTTTATAATAATTATTAGTATATTTAAAATTTTAGTTTTAAAAATATTAAATTATAAAAGTATTAAAAATTTTCACATGTCAATATATTTTTAAATTGTTATTTTTCGTATACGATAACATTAATATATGACATTTAAATATTAAATATACGGAATTTGGAATTGATAAGATGTAGCTTAGAAATAGCATCATTCTTATCATTTCTGTTAAAAAATCATATGTTATATATTTATTATTAAGTCGATAATTTGAATATCGAATTTTGACTTCTGTTTACATTAGCCGGAAAGAGTACAGATGCTGGGATATTGCGTTAGCAATATCCCTCTGTTAAACAATCCCTGTTATTTAATATACTTCTATTATTAAACTCTCGGAATTCGTAGCTGGGTTGATCCCCTAAAGCGCGCGCATTTGCATACACTTGAGCCAAAGCACGGCCACATCCAGGAATCATTCGCAATCGTATAGGATTGCCAAGTTACCGTACGATGCAACTGCGGGGCACGCAGGTGGTGGATTTTCCGATCGATCCCCGCGCGATTTGTTCGGCGATGTCGGGGACTTCTCGCGCACGCGGGGCCGCGGGGGCCTCGGGGCCCCGTCAGTCGATTGTTCACGACGCGCAGCGCGTGCAGCAATGAAAGCTCGAGTAAAAGGCCTATAAGGTAGACATAAATAAATAGGTGGTAGGTGTGGTCGGGTGAGGCCGCACACATGGCGTCGTGACCCGTCGGTCTCCGTTCGTGAGCCTCGGGGCCCCCGGGCTCAACTTGTGCCCCGCGGAATGTTGCTCCCGCCGCGCGCGAGCAAGCTCTTTCGGTGTCGCGGTTAAACTGCAGTTTTACGTACACTTGTTCCCTTTCCCGTCCCCCTCCCCCGGTCTCGCAAACTGCATTCCTCGCCTCCGTATTTATTAATACTTAAGTTTATGCGAGAATCTTAGAAAACGGAGAATATTCGATTTTCATTCATCGATGGAGAAAAAATTTAAGATTTATAGGAAAACATGGAAACTGTAATAAGAGATAAAATAGTAAAATATTTTAAATATTTTAATTACATTTATATTTAATTATTACTATGATCTAATTATATTCAATATTATTAATATTCTAATCATTTAAATTTCTCAAAATTAAAATGCGAAAGGTACCATTGTCTCTCCCCTACAGCTACATGGGATTTTACGAAGAAGTTTTTTTCGGATACCTACGAAGCGTAACGAGGTCAGATTAGGGCTTCGTGTAAACGACCAAGGGTTGATCCGGAAATTCAGGAGGCTACAGGCATGCGCGCCGTTCGTTTCATGACTTAACACGGTACTCGGCTTCGCTTTGCCGCAGTGCTTCGTCGGTTGAGGCTGTCGGTACACAATGCCGCATTGTTTCGTCGTAGCCTATCTAGTCGGTAGCGCACACAGGTTCGGCCTGTGTGCGCGCCGATGTTTATTATCCTCCTCTCTTCGCGCGCGCAACAATACAAAATATCATCCCCCGCGCGTTTTATTATCCGCGCTCCCTGCGAGAGTTCGTGGTCGAATCACTTTGCCGGGATAAAATCCGGGAGGCCGATACTCCGTCGTATTTTCAGGCGATGCACGAAGCAACGAGACTCGACGATAGCCGGGGCTTCGGGCTCTATAGAATAGATGTAGATAGATGTAGCATAAAGCTAACAGAGTTACAATGCTGGACGATGGGCAAAGAATACATCGGTGTACATTACACAAGTAGAAAAGATATCGTTATAAAAGAAAACGGAAGAGAAAGGAACGGTCTAAATGTTACGCTGAATAAAAAAAGAGCGCGAATACGAAGCGAGATATCGGAGCGATTCGCATTTCTCGCACATTTCCCTACGTGTCCTACATGCGGAATCGAAAGAGGCCATGCGTCTACCTCTCGTACGAGTCAGGTTTCCACTTTCATGGATGGCTGCCGCCCGGACGGCGTCGCGATTTTATTTTCGTCGTCGGCAATGGCGACTCGTATATTTTGCGAACAATTAATACGTATATATTCTTTAGATGTGGAAAGTCTCCTTTCTGCCGAAAGCCTCGGACAAAGCGAAGAATCATCGCGATAGATGCGTAGACGGAGTTTCGTTGTGCTAAGACAGTGAAAGCCGCGATCTCCGATCAACCTTGGCACGATTAGATGCGAATCGAATTCTGCGTCTCGAATAAGAAAAAAGAGACGCGCGAATCTCTTTTTTTTTCTTCTCCTTTCAATTGAAAAGAGGAAAGGAAGGGGGAGGAGGAGCGTAAGGTAGCTGCGAAAGCATTATACGATATCGGCGGGGGAGAGCTGCAGATAGCTTTCTTATTTCCATGAAAATTGCGTTCGGCGATTTCGACGACAATGCCATTCCGGTGTTTTAAATGCAAATCCATAAAAGGAAAAACCGTAGAGGCATTATAATTTATATTACTACATGTGGCAGCGCGGCGCTTCCGGCGAAAGAGCATAGGCGCAGTTCCGGTCAGCACGGGTCGGAGAGATCCTACATCGCCAGATTATGAGCCCACCGCCGCTTTTACAATGGATTCGTCCGCCTCTGAGTCGTACGTCAGCAGGAATAATTCTGACGTTTTACCGCCGCACCCGCTCTTCTTTTTGCCAGAGAAAAAAATATAAACGAAATTCGCGTGCCCATCGCAAGAAGAATAAAATATTTCACATATTTCGTGTACGCAGGATATAATAATTCTCATCTTTACGGAGATATTTCCTAACGTTAACGTAATTACAAGCCACGCATCTAATGGCGAAAGGAAACAAATGATGTGCGCATAGTTTGCATGATTAAATCACAACTATATTTATCTATATTCTCTACATCTGTAACATTGATAGACAGGCAATAGCTTGCAATAAACAGCGAAAGAAATCGAAGATATTTAGCTCGGCCGAAAGGCCCAAAGCTTATTATATCGGTTCTTTCAAGAATTGGCCGTTTTTGATGAAATCCACGATTGCCTGAACAGTGGTCTGAAAGCGCGCGAAATTCTCTCGACCTTCCACGAGCGACTTGGATTTATAAATGGCGCTCGTGTACGCCGAGGTCAATTCAGACACCAGCAGTTGCGCTCTTTTCGCAGCCGCCTCGATCGATCCTGCGGGCGTCTTTATTTCCTCCGCGGTCCTCACGATCTCCTCCTTAATGATCTCGATGAGCTTCGTATCGTCCTTCGCGTTCGATTCCCCGCTCGAGATCTTCCGCAGGATGTCCCGGATGGCCGCGACATTCGCGTCTTGCGAGTAAACAGAATAACGAGTCTCTTTAAAAAAAGCTCGAGTATTCTTCGAGAATTAAAATCTTATTATATACTAATTAATATAATAATTTTGTAATTAATATAATGTCCGAATGAATTATCTTTCACCTGGGACTGGCGTGGACTCTTGCGTTTCTCTAATTATCCTTTGGGATTGCGAGCTGGCGCTCGCCAAGAGAACGATCGCGACGATCGCAAACTTCGCCATCTTCGGAAGTCGCATCGAACAACAAACTGTCAATCGTTCGTCCGGTGGCTCTCTCTTTCTTTTTATACGAACGTATATTTCCACGAGGACGAGTGCCTCGAGTAGGGATGGCATTATGTAAAATGTAATTTGTGCCGTTCGCCGTCGTACGCGGTCGTTGACCATTATAAATGATTCTAATGAGTGTCATTAAAAAAAAGAAGACGCGCGAGAGAAAGTGGAGCGTCGCAAACGGTACGTTTCAAGAAAGTACATTGTTTTGTTTTGATTTCTACCTGTTGACACAACCGGAAGAAATTGGCTCGAGCAATTTAAACAGGCCTCTTTTTTTCTCAAATTATTTGCGAGATGAATATCAATATCTGTATTAAAAGAGATATTAATTTCGACGCGTTTCTCTAAGAAAATATATTTGTATCAAAATTAATAGAAACTCTATATAAGACGCCAATCTAATTTGATATTTGTATTTTTATTACACACACGACACACAGACACAAAGATAGCTCCAAGATATATTATGAATATTTCTAAATTCGCGATGAGAGACGAACATCGCGATTTTACGACTCGAAGAAGCGGATCTCAACCGGAAGCGGCCGGATGTTTCTTGTCGGCGAATTGCGGGTCGCGAGGCGAGTTTTTCTTAACCGAGCAGCAATCGTCGTGCGCGCCGCTGCAATTTTTCGTTGCCGGTCGCTGTGTACATCATCGCGATACACGCAATCCCCTCTCGACACAACGACGACGCTCAACAGGTCCGCGCTCTCCCCCTCTTCGAAAAACGTAGGGGCAACGCCGATATTCGCCGACGGTAAAAGTGCGTGAACACAGGGAGGGAGTGCATCCAGCCATGATTCCTCCTCACCGATTTTTAGCCCCTTCCTGCCCCCTTTATTCTCCCCCTATCTCCTCGACGTTACTTTAACGCCGCGTCTCGCGTCAAATTAAAGGCTGTCGGGAATCGCTTTCCAAGATTCAAAGAGCGATTTGAGTTCTCGATTCGCGATAACGTTGCGTTACGAATCTACACCGGGTGTTTCCTAAGTAAAAGTCTCTGGAGGGTTTGGAAAATCGCGGTCTGGGACTTTGGATGACGTTCTGGTGCGGATGACGCGTCCATCGCATGCAGAAGGCACTCGCGAGGGACCTTAACGTCCATACCTTAATGTGGGATGAATGAAAATACGGGTACTTGAGTAAGCTTAAATTACATTTCATTCATGCAGGAAAAGCAGACACGCGGGAGTCGTCCTTCCGGCTCGCATTGCACAGGCAGAACGTTGGCGGACTTGTACATAATAACTGCCGGACTATAATGTGTATTATCCCGACATCCTGTGCGATGGCGACGGCTTCTTACGCGCATTTCTCTGTCTTTCTTCTCTTCTCTCTCTTATGCCTATACCGGCCCTTGTTGCGTATTACGACAGTGATTACAATCGTAGAGAGACGACCTTAATTTCCATGCGAACGCTCACTTTTCGCGGCGCAACACTTTCCTCCTTTTTTTCTTCTTTTTTATGATTTACATGTATCGTTCCGGGTATTACGCTAGACGTTCATGGATCTATGATCGTCATATAAATAATCTTTAAAAATTTCTGTGATTTGAGAAGTAGTTGCGCAAGATCGGCGGTGAAACGCCCAATTTTCCCGGCGCACAAAGAGAGGCGCGTTCAAGCGGAGACGCGAAAGCGAAATACCGATCGCATTGTGTGTCGATCGATCACGATCTTATCTGACGCAAGATTCACGTCGGCCAGCAACGGGATGACGGGGAAATACAGGTATTGGTATATAGATGATACAAAGTGTATCGCGTCGCGCTTTGGTACCACATCCATGATTGCCGATCGCCACGATCGCAATAAGAGGACCGGGACGTAGGAGGATCTGTCTCGCCGAAAGAAGCGACCGGGGGGAGAGGGGAGAGAAAATCAGAGCGACGAAGCAGCTCGGTCCACGGATGGTCTTTATTCTCGTATCAGACGCCGGACAACATCGATGGAAGCGACGTGGGCTTATTATGGTCTCGTACAATGATCGGTACCGCGACGTGCGAAGATCTTCTCGGGAGTCTCGACGAGAGAAGACACCGCCGCGTCGTCGCGTCGAACGGCGACCTCGTTGAATGGGGCCCCAGGTACGCGTTCATCTCGCACACGAGGGATTATGGCGAGAGCGCGGAGTCCGCCGAAGATCTACAATCCCGATTACGTTCGCGCTGACTTTATAAGCTGCTTTAAACGCTGCCATTCAAGCCGGACAGGCAGACCTCCTGACCTCATAGCTCGCGGTGCACCGATTTGGCGTTTCTTGCCGGTTCCTTTCTTGTCCTTTTCGTTGAACAATGCACGCCTCTCGCAAAAGCGAAGAGGACCTATATTCGGAAATGATCCTTGCGGCAAGTTACGAGCGACAACAAAATAATCATGCTTTTTTTCGCAACATGTTTTAACATGGAAATTGTGTTGCAAAAAATAGATAATCTGTTATGATTACATTAATTAACATCATTATAACATCATCTATTTTCTTAGATTAGGTGCTATAGGTACTACATCTATCTAAATTATTTTTTTTCTACCGAAGAGAAATATATTAAAAATATGTTTATTGTATCTTTATGTCTCTAATAAGAATTTTTACTATTTAATATGTTAGATTATAAATGATTAATGTGAAATAAAATAATTCATCCCTAAGTTAATTACAATTTTATCAAAAATAAATATTTCTCAAATACATATTTCTGATTTTTTGAAATAAAATGTTAAATAATTATTTATCCTATTACATTTTCATAAATTTGTAATTTTATTTATTTTCCTCTTATTTTTCTCTTAAATTCTTTTGTATTACAAATATTCGACAAGTGCACATAATTTATTAATGATAATCTAAAATTTAAAGAATTTTTATAGCAATAGTTGAAAATATATAAGAATTTCTTTGCAATTTTCTTGCGAATTTTCATAGCAATAGTTGAAAATATATAAGAATTTCTTTGGTGCGACCTTTTTTGCATCCAAGATCATTATATGACAACAATTATTATGATATGCAATAATCAAATAGCAGAGAAGAGAATTTTTTTATGGATGTAGACCCTGGAGGAATCTTTCTCTTAAATATTTTAGATACTCGGAAAATTAAAGCTCTCTAAAATAAATCCTAGTAAAAGGTCGTTTAGCTTAGACAACGGGAAGCCGAGATTCGGCACGGCCTGTGGGAGTTCCGCTCGATCAAACCATGCGATTCTCACATGCAGTCCGAGGGATCCGTGAAAAACAATTCCATGAAATTAATAAATCTCTCCTCCCAGGGAGGACCTCCTACGATGTAGGCGACTTTTTAGGACGACTGCGATTTCGCGAAACGTGGGTGATCCAATTAGGTGCAGCGGCGTACAAAAAAAATCGGTCACGAACGTTACTCCTATTTACACGCAACGAGATAAATTAGCACATGTCTTTTTGCATTAATGAGTTTTGCGGTGGAACAAAGCTTTTAGCGTAGAGCATCTTCGATACTAATAAAAATAATAAAAATAAATTGAGAGAATCAGTGTGCAGGACAATGAGATTAAAAAGACACGACAGATCGATTCATGGTAAATCACTTGTCGATGGATCGATCTGTTACCTGATTTCTCTTTTGCAGTATTGAGTCACGGTGCTTTTTGTCGTTACCATGGCGCATTGAAAGCAGGTGGTTTCTCACTCTCTTAAACTGAATCAGTGAAAATGTCATTGATTAATGCAAAGACACAAGATTTCACCGAAGATTAATGAGTATTTTACTGATCTTTTCGATAAAAATATACTTTGTTTCTTTTTTATCATATGTTTTACTGGTTATAATCAATAAGACTTTACTGAAAAATCAGTAATAATCATACATATTTGCAAAATGTAGCTTTTAAAGTTTTTTCTATTTATTTTCCTATTTATTTTATTTATTAGTATTTCATAAGAGAAAAGTCCACATATTTCTCTAAATATATATATATCTAAAATAAAAAAAATCATATTTAAAATAAAGTATATATGACTAATGTTCCAATTCTTTTGTATATTATTTTGGTACTCTGTATATTATCTGTAACAGCATAAAAAAATAATGATGCTTCGAAATATCGTTGCACATAAAATTACTTTCCATCGAGTGGCATTAATTTTTTCCAAGAGTAATGACAGCAGAAAGGAAATTAGACATTTTTCGAGTCGAAAAATTTTTCATTTACTTTCGATCTTTTTTTCTTCTCTCTTTGCCCTCTCAATATTCAATCTAATATCTATTTTAAACAGTCTTTAAACAATATTTTAAACAATCAGTTAATTTTATTTTGAAACTATTTAATCTATAGTTTTGCAAAAACTTTTCTTTTAAGTCTCTAAATGAAAAATTATTTATTTTAAATACAAAGCAATACAATTTCTATATAAAAGAAACTTTTCAAAACTTTCGAGAATAAACGTGAAAAAATAGAAATTGTTATTGTACGATTAATTAATTCCAAAATTCATAATAATATAATATATTTTGTAGTTTGTTTTAATAAAGATATTCTGTAAAAAATATTTTATAAAAAATATTTTATATCGGCGAAGTGTATATTTATATTGCATTTTTCGTGCGTTGAATGCAAACCCTCCCAATGGGTACACCTTGACGTTGGTGGGAGGGCTCAGTACCTGGAAGGTTTATCCTGAAGGGGAAGCCAAGTACCCAAACGATATCCGCGCTTTCGTGGTAATAATCTTAATTATTCCACGCATTCGAATTCGGGAGTGCCGTGAAAGTGTCGCGCGTCTATTTTTATCGTACTATTCGTCTTAATTTTCGAGGATGCCGTGCAAAGGCAATCAAAATGTGAATACCGAGATATCGATTTGAAATCGCGAATTTCGAGAATGCCGGAGAATTTTATCGCGGACGATTCGCGCGCGATTGTCATTATGAATCGTTTTTATCATGAGTGAATGCGCGAGTGTAACAAATCTTAAAGGAGAATAATCTGAGTCTGAGAGAAGGAGGAGGAGGCCCTCTCCATCGGGTAATAATGGATCAATTTAAGGTAATTTATTATTTGTAATTTATTTTTTTTCTTAATTGTATGTGCGTATCTATTTTTGTTTGTTTGATTCGTTTATTTGAATAATTTCAGACAAGAACTCAGAAAAAAGTTTTTATGTATTGGATCCTATTAAAACTTGTATTTAAAAAAAAGTTTTTTTTTTAAATTATTGTATAGTATTATTTTTTATTAAATATCTATTTATTATTACGTGAATTGAATACAAAATTTTTGATGCGTACAATTATAATTTTCAA